GGCCTTATACTTATACATATACCTATACATATATGTATGTACATACCTACACTTTTGAAAGCATGTTTAGATAAGTACATATGTATGTAGAAACATTCATAAATATATAGTAAGTAAGTACGTATCTATGAAGAAATGTGTTTTTCTATACTTGCTCGTAAGTGCGACTCTTGTCAGTAATCATCAAGTGACGTGAAGTTTTTTTCGAAAGCTGCTTTATTTTACGAGTATTTCAAATGTGATCTGCTCTCATAGCGATTGCGATCGCGAAAGCACTTGAGTAGACAGACAATTGTCGGCTTACTTTGAGTGTTAACAGAAGCAGACATTCTTGCATCTCGAAAAAAGTTTAAGTAATTGTCTTTTAATTTGTATGTATGGCAATATGGCGGCAAAGGTTTTTGTCTAGATTTCTTAAGGCAGGCAAGGCAATAGAAACATCCATTGAGAAAATAGATTTGATGACTTCAAAAATAGACTTTGCTTCACTTTTTTGCAGTCATTTACCTACTTCTACTTCTTATTTGGCACTACAACTGCTTGTTGGTTTGGGGGCAGACAGGCACTTCTGCGCTTGGCCCTTTCATTTTGTTTGAGGGCGCACTCGCTTTCTTTGTCCAACCATGGATGCCGAGTGGAATGATCTTTTCATTGGAGCATATTCATCCGTGCATAGAACATGCCCAAGCCAGCGCAATCGTTGTATTTTTTATGCGCTTAATTAAATTTATTCGTATCGTTAAAAGGCTCGTACAGCTCGTCAATCCATTACCTTCGGTACCCGCCGGCCACGGGAACAGATCTTGCAAAGTTCTCAAGAAATCCCCCAAAGCCTTCTAATCTTTGCTTAGATTCGTTCATGTTTCTACGCTATATAATAGGTCGGACATGATGAGAGACTTGTAGAACGGAATTTTTATTCGTCGAGAGAGAGTTCTGCTTTTCAATTGTGGAAATACCGACCCCAAAGTAGCAACTGTTGGCAAGAGTGATTTTTCGCTTGAACTCTAGGCTAACATTATTGGTGGTATTTATGATGGATCCTAAGTGGACAAAGTTCATCACTACTTAACTGTGTCCCAATATGCGAAGACTTTTTATTTTTCTTCAGGAGGTACTTTGTCTCGTCTAACTTCGCCGTTAGACCAATCTTTTTAGCCTCTTTTCATAAGTTGGAAAATACCGCGCTGACTTCCCTGGGCCTCAGGCCAACGATGCATACGTATATGGTGGCGCTGCGATTCAGATTGACAGCTCTTATCATGCTTTTCAGCATTCGTGTGGACTGAAACGGCGAAGAGGCCCTAGCTAATTTAAACTTAGTTGAGTATTGTGTTAAACGTCTCCAAAATTTAGACATGCTATCAAAAGCAGCTTTGAAATCGACAAAATGATGGTGTGTCTTGATTTTTATATCGCGTGTCTTTTCCAGAAGTTGACGTGTTGTGAAAGTCTAGTCAATGGTGGACTTATCAGGTCTCAAGCCACACCGATAGGATCCCATCACGTATCGTCGACAGAACCTTAAAAGTAATATTAAGAAGTTAATTCTGCGATAATTGGCACAAGCGGCGGGATCTTCTCTCTTGACAAAGTACACAGAGGTTCCCATCTTCAGGTAACGGCTGTTCGCCGCCCGCCTGTTTTGAAAAGCTTGGCCGGTATACCGTCGGCACTGGGGTATTTTTGTATTTTTAAAAAACATCATTCCGGTTTTCATCCCCCGATGTTGCCATTCATAAGCGTTGCGAAGTTTACTCAAGTAAACTATGGTCATCCGTTAACAGAGTTTCAACTTCGTCTCTACAGAAGTCAGCCTTGGTCTTGAAGCCATTTGATTGCTGCCTTTTTTTCTGATACAAGCTTTCAAGCGGTCAGATTGTCTGCACCGCAGCTGTTTTGGTTTTGAATATTGTTCGAATTTGTTTCTCCCTAACTCTATTTTCTTTAGCCTATTAACAGCGGAATGTAATGATTTCCTTTCTAAGTCGTATTTTTTTTTATACCAAGTTTTGCAGTTTTTATAGCTTGGATCTGACGGAGATATAAATATTAAATTCCAGGCCTTTTTATCTTTAGTAGGACTTGTAGCCCAAATCCGCTTATGGTATTTTGGGTATAAACAATTTTAGTCAGGCGAATCGTCACATATTCTGTTGTAGTAAGGTGCCGTAGAGCGATGATCGAATCGACGGATTCTATATAAAACAGACTACCATAGAATTTAGCTTAGCGATCAGAATTCTTCAAGTGGTGTCTTTTCTTAAACAAAGTATGCACATCGAAAGCTTTCCTACAAAAAAAGCAAAGGAAAGAACCGGCTACCATCTTGAGGAACTTTCTATACCGTCGCGACGGTTTCAAGACTGAAAATGAAACTGGAGCTGGACGGCTTTTATATGGCATAGTGGGTGGTACGCGACAGATGGCGCGGACAACAAGTCAGGGCTTGCTGCGATAGCCAAACTGGCCTGGAGACTTTGAAAATCGCTTGTAACGTTTTAGCGCTGTACGTGCCATTTTGATGCGTTATCTCTGGAATCTGTGATGCTGTCTGCTACCATGATTCGTTGGTATCTTCAAACGACTAGAACTTGTCGATGAGCATTCAGAAATCTCTTTTAGATCTTGCATGAAAAATTTGCTTAGTATTTCATAGCTTTTAAGCGCTAGTACCCGACTAAGCGGAAGCCCCTGAATCTCAGGGTTAAAAATCCAATCTGGTAACCGTGGTTGTTGCTGATGCCAATGCTAGACATGCTCCTGGACTATACGAAAAAGTGGATGCGTTTGGTACTCCTTCACAGTTTCTTTCCTCCTCGAGGCTTAAAAAAAAATCGCAGGTAAACTCAGAAGGCAGTAGGTACTGGTGAGAAGTACCCTTGGTTATGCTTTCACTAGGAAAGATAAACATCTTCCGAACAGAGCTGATATCAAGTTGCTTATTGGCTATCTGACGGGCCATAATAATCTGCGCTCTCTCACACGCACCAGATTGGTATTTCCACAGAGACCGATTGTCGTCTTTGGCTTGAAGACATCGGAGCACATTATATGTGATTGTCCGGCATTGGCCAGACTAAGACTGCAATGCTTCAGTTCTTCCACAGTCGGTGCCCTTAAGGTTAGGCATTCGTCTACCAAGAAACTTTTAGAATTTACAATTAGACGATAGCCAAATAAATATCCATATTTAAGACTACGTTACCGCGAAAAAAAATTAAGAAAATTCTTCTAAGCGAGGAGAAATGGCAACTCATATATCATTGTGAACATGTTATTATGGCAAGAAGAAATCTTTGCAAAGTGGCCAAGTTCCTTAATTAAATTCTTTGCGAACAGTGAAAAACTTTTCACCTTTTGGAGGATTTCATACTGCATGTATGTCAATTTCAGTTGCGAATGAGTTGAAAGTGCGGAAGAATATAATTAAAGGCGGTAATATCTGTAGTCTGAATGTAATCTGGCGAACATTTATTCTTGCAACGGTGGATAAGTAAGAAAGATTGAAGCCCAAGTTCGGCTGCCTACGAAATACCCCATAATGTTTTGTATCAAAGGCCTGGTTTAGAAAATAGACCCAAATTTTTTATGTATGCAGTGCAATCTAGTCCAAATAGAAAGCCTTGAGCATTTGCTCTTCAAGTACCCAATTTATTATTTCTTTAGGGACGACTACATATCACCCCTTGTAAAAGAGTTTGAAAACAAACTAATTCATATATTACAATTGACCGACCAATTTACAGTCAGCATGGTGTACCTTTATGTTGTGAACTGTTAGCGATTCAGAGCCAACATATTAAATGAATAAATTGTGTAAACTAATGCAATTTTCTTAAATTCTTTTTTAAGTAGTTTTGCTTTCAGTATATTTGTGAATAATTGTGTAATTCTCAACCATGTAAACTCAAATGTAACAATATGAGAAAGACCGCTAAAACAAGACCGTTCCTAAGCAGGGTTAAATAAAATGAATGATACGGAAAAAATTATACCCCTTTTTTATATCAAAAAATATTTAGAGGTCGCTTAAAGTTGTTCTTGTATTTTATACGGGGGAAAAACCAGTTTTCTTAAAAATGGTTTAGAATTCTTGAAAATCAATATTTCTTAATTGGAAAAGTTTGGTTCTCTTTAAGAGACTGCTAATGATAATACCCAATTGTTAATTTTACCATCTCCAATAATAGCGATTTGTTATGGGTTCCCCATTGCATTTTTGAGGGTTTTAGGGGTCTTAAAAGAAATAGTTAATCGTATAAAATGGTTAAATAAATATTTGGGTAATATTATTGAAAATCTCCAAAAGAGAAACAAAGTTTTCCGATCGAAAAATCTATACCATTTCTACAAAAACGATGTTTTCCCCCATATATAATATTTCCCCCTAAATATTTCTTGATTTCTAAATAAAGACAATTTTTATCGGTATAGTTCAGTCATAGACAGTGAGATCATCAAAATTCCGACTATACTTTTATGTAGACCCCAATGTACCTACATACATATGAACATATATTTTTATTGAATTTTTATGAATATTAATTCAACTGCATCGATAGATTAATCACTTTCTTGTTTATGCAAATAATGTATAAATTTATTCAATTGTTACCAATTGTCTGAAAATAATAAAAAAAAAGTTAACAAAATCGTGAGCTACTTTGTAGGTACATTTGATAGCAAAAAGGTACATTTCTATTGTCAAATTGGGTACAATTTGAAATTTCGATTTTCCATCCCTGTTGCTAACCAAAGCAATCAACCACTGACAGCCGCGCCGCAGCTGCATTTCCATCGCAGCCGCTAGATGCTACCCACACATTTATGCATATTCCCACACACACACATACACATTTTTATAAAAATCGAACGCAGCAGCTCTGGCGGTTTGACAATCCAATTGCAGCAAGCTGCTAAACACAATGGAATTAAACAAAAATTGGTTTGGCAAAGTTTTTTTTTTTAAGTAAAACGTTTTACTTCTGGGAACTTACACTCTTCTAGCTGTAGCTTGCACAATATTTGTTTCATAAATGTTTATACACTTTTGTAAAAGTCGTTCGATTTCGTTAGGAACCGTCGCGGTTACACCGACGTCAACGTTCTGTCGTAGAGGCACTGAGTATCGTTTTTGTTTTTGCTAACTCCACTTCCTGCGCCAACACTTTTTTCTACTTTATTTTCAAGCCACACATTTTATGCTTTTATACAGCAGCAGCGTATTTCATTGCAATACTCGTGTTTCATTTATTTATTTAAAAATATTTTTACACTTTGCTCGGTTTGTCTACAATATGCTTGTTATTGTTTTTCACTATTTCATTTATTTTTATTTTTCTTTAATCTTCACTAGCGCTCTGCGACACGCGCCCACTCACGCATTTACGTACGTACACGACGGCGACCGCTTCGAAACTCTTTTGCTCAGAGCAACTGCTGGCTGCATTTTTCGCCCAGTTGTTTATGAATGTATGAGTGTTTGTATATCCGGACAGCATTCGCCGCTAATTTTCACTACTTTTTCACACAAGTGTATCTGAATGGTGGGGTTTGTTATAGGCAACACTGAAAAACTGGTTCCACGTTTTTGTTTACACTGCGTGTGCGACTGAGATGGCTATAGTGTAGCGTACGCAATGCGGCGAATTTAAAGCGGCGAGTAGCAGCTACTTGGCTCTTTGCGCTGGTTGGATGACAGCTGTTATGTCACTGTTAAATGTCAGGTAGTAAAGTACCGTACACAATGAAGTCGATAAAAGGCGTATCAAAGCGCGACATGGCAACAAGGCGTCTGACCAAAAATTTTTTGTTAAGCAGTATAAGAGCTTATGGAATCTCGGCTTTCGGTTGAAATTTACGCGAAAGCTAACAAATATTTTAATTAAATAAGAAAGTGGCTTAACTTTAGAATTATACTACCTCAAAACAAATTTGACAAAGTACGACGGAAAGTCGTTCTGTAAGACATTGAATAAATAAATATATATTTTACCACTTGATTTTAGATCAAACATTCCATTCAGTTAATAAAACTCTGCCAAATTTTCTTCAAAACGTCGGTTTCACGCGTTAATAATGTTCTTGGCCGATTCCACTACTGGATCTTTCTCTCTCTCTGTGGCTCTTGACAACGATGAGACTAGCAGCGAGCACCTGTGGCAGTGATGCCACGGGGAAATTTTTTCCTTACCAAAATTTCATACAAAAACCAACAAAAAACTACCACACATTTTTTAGAGGTTTTTATTTTTATTTTTATTTTTTTTCAATGTCAAGTTTATTGAAAATGTAGATGACATAACATTTAGTAAAACAAAAATAAAGCTACTACAATAAAAGCAAATTAATTTTTTTTTATGTCTCTTTATTGTTATTATGTATATAATTACTTCGGGAATAATCGGGCTGTGACCTAAAAAGATCTACTGAGCTAAACCCTAATTTTAAAAGCTCCAACCATAGGCTATTGAAAAGCACTTTGGAGGGTGTCATGTTCCTTATTTTTGATAGAGAAAACAACCGTACATGTAGATGTATAACTCGGGATCATCCAGGAATGGCTTGAGAACCTCCAAATGACCCCGAGGATATCCTAAGGCGAAGAAACCTGCTGATCTAATAAACCACCTTGTATAAATTCGCCTTGATCTGGCATCGTCTGCTCGTCCTCGGCCTCGCGGAGAGTACTTATGAGCGCAGGTGTGCGCCGAAGACTCTTGGAAACAGCGGGACTACAATATTGGCTGTGGGTATTAATAAGATATATACTCCCAGATAGAGTTGGTATAGAACAAGGGAACTGTTACCATTAACTTGGAGCTTTGTGACTTTGGAAATATATGCGAGTAGAGGTTTTGATAGAAGACAGGGGAAAATGAATTCAAGCTTACAAACAGCTCAGTGTGTATGAACGGGCATCAACGTCACACGTCATTTTACGATGACAGGCTGGAGTCAATGACTTGTAAGACTTGACCACTCCCGGTTTTTTAGTCTATTGGTTGTTTACAGCGCTTTCAAAGGAACGGTTTTATAGACCAGTTTGTGAGATGAATTCAATATCCACCTTTATATGTACATGTACAATATGAAGAATTAGACTTCCAAACAATGAAAATTCCCAAAGCTGTCGAATGAAAGATAGAAAGTAAGTTGTCAAAGATTTTCTTTCGACAGCTTTGGCAATTTTCATCGTTTGGAAGTAAAATTCTTCATGTTGCAGAGTACGTCTTAACCAGCGATGGGCAGAGAGAGCTTTTAACCTACACGTGCCTAGACTTTAGTCTCTAATATGTCCTCACAACGGGCC